TCCAGTCTGGGTGACAGAGTGAGACTCCAACTCAAAAAAAAAAAAAATCCAATCCTCTTTTGATGGGCAGCACTGTTGTTCCATGTTTTTACTATCGTAAATAATGCTGCAATAAACATGCGTATGCAGGTAACTTTTTTTTTGAGTTAGAGTCTCACTGTCGTCCAGGCTGGAGGGCAGTGGCACGCTCCTGGCCACCAAAGCCTCGACCTGCTGGGCTCAGGTGATCCTTCCACCTCAACCTTCCAAGTAGCTGGAACAATAGGCAGGTGCCATCACACCCGGCTAATTTTTTGATTTATTGTAGAGATGAGGTCCTGCCAAGTTGCTCAGGCTGGTCTCAAACCCATTGGCTCAGGCAATCCTCTCTTCTCGGCCTCCCAAAGTGCTGGGATTATAGGTGTGAGGCAATGCGCCCGGCCTGCAGGTATCTTTTTCATAGAGTGATTTGAGTTCCTCTGGGTATATTCCCAGTAGGGGGATTGTGGTGTCATATAGAAAGTGTTCTTGATTTCTAATGTTTCGTTTTGATGCTTTGTGTTTTAATCGCTCTTACGTTACCCTTTGTTCTTGAACGTTGTCTTTTTTTTTTCCATTTGCATCCTTAACAATCATGGTTATTTTAAATTCTCAGTTTAATAATCTCAAAATTTCTGTAGCATTTGAGTCTGGTTCTGATGCTTGGTCTGTTTATATTTTATTAAAATACATTTTAGCATGCCTTGTAACATTTTTTATTAAAAGTTGGACACGATGTATTAGGTAAAGGTCAGGTTTTATGTTTACATGGCTAAGAGTTAGGCTGTGTTTACTGTTCGCTATAGCTGTAGGCATTAGAGGCTAAAATTTATTCTGGTGTCCTTGCTTTTGTTTCCTCTGCTATCTCTGTGTTTCCTTAGACACTCTTTTGTAAATAGGGTCTGAGCCTTGCAGCTTTTTTAGTTGTAATCCCATTATTATACAGGAGCCCTACTGATGCTATAGTGGTAAGATGGGGGGGGCATCCCATAATTCCATTATTAGGTCTCTGGTTTTTTTTTGAGTTGGAGTCTCACTCTGTCACCCAGACTGGAGTGCAGTGGCACGCTCCCGGCCACCACAGCCTCAACCTGCTGGGCTCAGATGATCCTTCTGCCTCAGCCTTCCAAGTAGCCAGAACTACAGGCTCGCGCTACCACGCCTGGCTAGTTTTTGATCTATTGTAGAGATGAGGTCTCACCAAGTTGCTCAGGCGGGTCTGGAACCTGCCGGCTCAGGCAATCCACTCGCCTCGGCCTCCCAAAGTGCTGGGATTATAGGCTGAGCCACCGAGCCCCGTCAGGTCTCTGTTTTTTATTGAGCTATGTCCCTGTGCTGTGACCTTCACAGGTGTCTCATCTTCTCCCATCCCCTTATATGAAACAGAAAGATCAGAGGAGGCTGCAGTTGAGTCTCTTTCCTTTTTTTTTCCATTAGTGATATTCCTTCCCATGGGTATGTTCTTTTTTCCCACATAGGTTATACTCTGGGAAAAACCAAGTCAGGTTCTGCTAAATAGTTTACCTTGAGAATAGGCCTTTGTTAAGGAGAACAGAATGCCCTTAGGTATATTTCAAAAGGGCTACCTTCCCTCTCTTCCTGCTGGAAGCATGAGAGGATTACTTTACAGTCCTCACAGTGAGAACCCAGTGGGGTTCCTGGAAGTAAAACTCACAAAAATGTGTGAGACCCATTTTAAGGCTGGGCCTCCAGGAGTTTTAAAAACCTTTCAAGCTAGTACATATTCAGTCACCAGTGATCAGTAAATTGTCCTATAAGTATTCCTACCAGTTGCTGGTTTCAGCAGTTTTTGCTCCCAGTAAAGTCATGATTCTCTGTTCTGAGTCCACCAGTCTCTCCAGTTTTTAGGGGAAAGGTTTTGCCTGTGATCTCAATTCTCTGATGGGTCTAAGATAGGTTGTTAAGTTTCAGTTTGTTCAGATTTTTTTCTTGTGAGGATGGGAGTGGTGACTTCCAAGCTCTTTACCTGTCAGACCGGAAAATGGAAGTCCCTGTGTATTGTAGCTGTCTGTAGAAAATACTATGTGATGGTGTGTGCATTTCTTCCCAATTTCATGATCAGTGATATCATGTTGCTCTCTTGAAATCAGACACGGTGGGAGAATTTACACCACAGAAACTGGCAAATGTTACAAACAATGCTTGATTTATTTATTTTGTTGATTGTCTCAACTTAAGTGATAGTGAAAATATTCATAATTTAGATTGAGTTTAAAAGTGTTGGAAGGCTGAGGTGGAAGGATTGCTTGAGCCAAGCAGGGCGAGGCTTGCGGTGGCCATGAGTGTGCCACTGCACTCCAGCCTGGGTGACAAAGAGTGAGACTACAACTAAAAAAAAAAAATAAGTAAATAAAAAATCTTATTATACAATTCAGCAAAGATGTTCTTCAAATCATTGACAAATGCATGAAGTTCCAACATATGTCTCACTGCAAATTAAATATCTTAAATATCAATCAACATTCAAAACTATACAGATGGTCCTCAGCTTATGATGGTTTCACTTATGATTTTTTTTTACTTTATGATGATGTAAAAGCAGTATGTATTCGGTAGAAATTGTACTTCAAGTACCCATACAGAGTCTCACTCTGTTGCCCAGGATGGAGTGCAGTGGTACCTCTACCTGCTGGACTCAGGCAATCTTTTTGCCTTAGCCTTCCAAGT